AGAGAGAGAGAGAGAGAGAGAGAGAGAGAGAGAGAGAGAGAGAGAGAGAGAGAGAGAGAGAGAGCTTGGTGACATTTGGATCCAGACTCGACATTCGACTTCAGACATATTGAAGAGGGATTATTTGGGACTTGTAACGAGACTTGGTGTTGACGACCTTCCCATCTCCCCCTTCCTCTTCTTCGTCTGATCCCCTCCTCTTCGTCTGTGTATGTCTGGACTTGGCGCCTCTTTCCTGTGTATAGCGCCAGGCCCCTTCACGCCGTGTGATGAGAATGATGTATGTTTGGTCAGCGTTGAAACATTGATTGGGCTAGTCACTAGTATTCTAGCATCCTGCTTCGCTATCTTGTACTACGTGAAAGAGGTCAGTCCCGGTCAGGTCAGGACTTGTATCTAAAGTCTTCCCTGCGCTATAAAGCACCATTTTGTATTATCGGAATGCACATTGCTTGTTGAGATTCCACTTGCACTGCATTGTCCATTCAGTCCTTTTTATCACATTGCGGATCCTCGGTTTGTATGTAGATCGCCCAACTGGGCATGTAACACTCTTTCTGTCCATTTGGTTGCATCTGGATTCAAACATGGGTCTGTATTTCAACTGTTGATGGGTAGTACCAATTGAGCTAGGACCGCTGGTTGTTTTGCTTCTGTTTGCTCCTCCTTTCTTTTTCGTCTGTTTTCTTTGTCCCTTCTTCCCTAGTGTCTTAAGGTTGTCGTCCTTCCATTGTGTTCATTGGGTTTGATGTCATTGTTTTCTGTCCTGTTTCTCGTGGCTTATTCTTTTGCAGAATTGAAACATCAAACTTGTTTAGAACTTCGGAGCGGTGCGGACACTGCATGCCTTAACCACCGGTACACGGCCATACATCGGCCGCAGACCCCTCACCGCGAGTTTCGGCCAAGTGGTGCGGACACTGCATGCCTTAAACCACACAGCCATACATTGGCCGTGGGCCCCTCACCATGAGTTTCGGAGGCCGGAAACGCAATGCGGACCACTCATGAAACTTATCAACGGCGTGTTGCCCCCGACTTTTCCGGAGTAAGTGACGAGCAATTTCTCCACAAGGCTGGGGCCATGTACCAGTGGTTTAAAACAGGCTTGTGAATGCAGGCAAGTTGGGGGTGAAATTGCACCTGGGGATGCATATGGACGCCTGAGTGCCATTATGATGAAGCAGATACACCATGAAGGAAGTGGGTGAGCGTCGCATGATTGACGGACCCTGTTCGTCCATTTCACATTTTCCTGCAAGCTTGTTGCACCGCTGCTAAAAGGTTGGAGAATATTTTTAGTAGAGCTCTGGAAAACAGGCTGGCGGGTTGAATCGTGGGACAACGAGGCCAAACTGTGTGTGCGGGCTGTTAACCATGGCTGCTGCTTCTCTGCCAGAAGATATTCCCCCCTCTCCCCCCACCCCTTCTCCTCCAGTCTGGTATGATACGTATGCCGATAAGGATGATCCTGAATCTGATGGTAGCGACAAGTCTTTTGAGGTGGCGTTTGATAGTAGGACCAGCTTCTGCCTTAGAGGAGCTGATGACATCAACAGTAGTGATGTTAGTGCGTCTGCGTTAGTAGAGCCCACAGGCTGGGCAGCCGATGATGACATCGATGGCCTCAGTGCAGCTGTAGCACAGGCCTTGGCTTTGGCAGTCGATGATGACCTCAACTCCTGGAAGAAGATGAGCGACGAAACCATTTCTTGGAAGATTGACACCGGTGGCCATGGGTATGGGGGGGGTGTCGATGGTGGTGGCAATGACGATTTCCTCTCTGCGGACGATCATTCTGACTCTCACCTCCTGCTGGAACAGGATGTTGCTCCTCCTCACTGCACTGCTAGCTTACAGAGGAGCATCCTCTCTGCTCCTGTGCAAGCTGGTAAACCAGATGATAATGATGATAGTTATTGGACCGGCAGTGATGAGACTGTCGGCAATGAGGACGACTGGCAGTCTGCGGAGGAGAGGGCGAGGGAATGGGATCCGGAGAGTTCTTCTGATTGTGAGTTTGACAGTGATGAGCAGGAGCAGCAGAGAGAATACGAGAACAACTATTTCAAGAAAATGCTTGCACGCTTACTGGGCGCACTCCGCCCTTATGGAATTTGCGACTCACAAGATGCATTATCGAGTCTTGACCAGCAGGAGAGGCCCCATGATCAAAATATGGTGGCGCCCAATCCCCAGTCAATAAGGGGGGAAACCCAAGAGGTGAGTGTTACTTTGACAAAGGTGTGTAGTGACAGCCAAGACGACGGAGAAACCGGGAAGAGGAGAGAAGAGCGTGAAAGACGGGTCTGGGTGTTTAAAAACGGGCGCCGCGCACCATGCGTCTATCATGATCGTCCCCCATTGCGTGTATCGTCAAACCTTGTTGCTGCCCTTGCTGCCACAGCCCATGGTTATCATACAAGTCGATCGACCAGAGGATCAATGGAACAAGCCTCTGCCGTCGACCCAGGCAACTTCAGCTGTGATGTGTGCAACAGACCCAGGAGATTCAAGACCATTGTCAGTCTTATCCGGCACGCAGAGACTTCGTCCCAGCGATTCGCCGCCAAGCATCGCGGATATGCACGTGCTCTGTCGTTTGCACTGGAGCAATGCCAGAAGATTGGCACGTCTAGCGCTCCTGCGGCTGGTAGCGATGATGCTGATGTGAGTGACGGTAAACCGAATGCTGATGCTAGTCAGCCATCCCATGAAATGGAAAAGGAGGCAAGCAAATGCGGCAGCACTGGACAGGGTGACCAGTCGGATAAGCAGCAGAAAGAAAGGAGGGAGAAGCGGCACATTGTGTGGCCTCCAGTGGTTGTCCTCGAGAGCGATTGTCCAGCACCGCTAAATGAGAGACCGAGCCATTTCGTTTTTACTCCCTGGCTGTTAAAGAAGCTTCTCGAGGATATGCATGAAGTTGCGAAGCAGATGAAAATAGTGCACGAGGAGGGGGAGGGAAGGCGCACTGCCGGCGTTCTGATCCAGTTCACAGCCGATCATAATGGCTACCTTGAGGCAGTTTGCTTGGAGGAGCGCTTGAGAGTGATGGGAGGAGGGCGAGAAGAGGACACGGTTTATGAGAATGGCCGTTGTGAAGCAGTTCGTTTGGAGGAGCACTCGCGATTGACGGCAGGAAAAGAAGGAGAGGACGCGGATTGGCGTAATGCAAACATGACCAATATCTCAGGGGGAGACGGGAAGGAGGAGCACAGTGAGCTCCCTGCTGGTCTGTCTTCCAGAGAATTTAACTGTGTGAAGGAGGGGGAGGGAGAAAGAGAGGAGCCATCGTCTGAGCCCATGGCGTCAGAAAGTGAGCAAGGAGGCCAACCGGGTCAGTGCGATGGAGCTAGTGGTGGTCACGCCCAGAAAATGGGGACTGATACGGTTTGCAGTGGAGGACAGCTCTGCTCCGCCGGCATGAGTGGAAAAGAATCGCCGCGAGCAGTGGGAGCAGTTCCAGCCAGTGGAACCCCCCCACCAGATAGTCATGCCGGAATGTCAACAACATCCGTTGATCTCGCCTCAACCTTACCTTCTTCTCCTTCTCCTAGCGCTCTATCTGTTGCTGTCGCCTCAACCTTACCTTCTTCTCCTTCTCCTAGCGCTCTTGCTATCCATGTTCCTGAGACGGTTACAAAACCCAGTACAGTTTCAGGTGCCAGTGAGGGCCTACGTTGTCTGGTGTCCTCCGGTAATCCTGATAGTGATAACCGCGTTAATGCTGTTCATTGCAGCGAAGCTACTGTTGCTTCTTCTACCCCTTCGGAGTCGAGTGTCATGGTTACAGCAGGTGCAAGTGACTTTGCGCTTGATGCATCCATGAGCACAGTAGGAAACTCTTCAAGTGGAAGAGAATCAAGCGCTGACGTGCAGGCTGCAAGCCCCTGTCCCGATCGCCACCCTTGTGGGGTGCCGGGTTTCGTTGACACTGTGATGGCCGCAGAAGTTGGTGATAACCCGGAAAAGGGACCTTTTGTGGTCCCCCCTTCAGGCTCTGGCTCCACTTCCCTGCCTGCAGGTGTTAATAGCGATCCACTTAGAAGTGTGGAGACACTGGAGAGTCCACATGGAGGTCAATCTAGCATCACAAATGCGTTCGGCGAGACTAATGTTCGACGAGATGATTGCGACGATGTCCTCCCTCGCTCTGCCACAAGGTCCTCAACTACTTCCAGTCATCCTAAGCAGCATGACACAGTGCAAGAAGATATTCCTTCATCGTGGATCTTGTTGCCAAGGAGCAGAATCAGCGGTTACCTGGCAAAGGTGGAGGATATGGAGAAGTATGATCCAGAGAGGATGCTGGTGCAGGGGTGGCACGTTGTGTCGCTGGAATCTGTCCGATCGTCTTCTGCTTCATCCAAGAAGGTATGTGGAAGGATGGACTCATTCTGAATGGCTTTTTTTTTTTTTTTGGGGGGGGGGGGGGNCACACACACACACACACACACACACACACACACACGCACATGCACAACAAAGGAGTGGGGGAAGAAAAGGAACAAGATGGACACGGCAATGAAAAGGACAGAACACCAAAAATTGCAGGGAGGCAGGGAGGCAGAGGCAGGGAGGGTGACGAAAAGGACTAATTGGAGTCAGCAGGACCTACACACCTCTAATCGAGACCGTCGGCCTGTCGTGCTGGGCTGGCAGCCCGGTTTGCCATGTGCTCTTAAGATTGTGACGAGGCTGTTACCCCGGTTGAGCCCTATGCCTGAGACTGAAGATTTATTACACTAGTGCGACTGCAATGTGATAACCCTTGGCCCGGTAGGGCCCACCTGTCTGGATCCAAGATCCAAGGCCCTTGTTTGGACTACCGTTGTCGCCCAAATAGAACCTTCAGTCATTATAGCTGCAGTTGGCCCGTTCTTTTCATCTGATTGCATCTGGATTCGAAACTTTGATGTGCATTTCAACAGTTATGCGATGTACCCACTGCTCTCGGCCCGCTGGTGGGAATCCTTTTTTATTTTTTCTCCTTCCAAAGAACATCCTTTGAAGTTTGAAGTCCTGTTGTCCTTGGTTGTACGGGAACCCATCGGGATCGGGTACCTGTCGATTCTTCAGTATCGGAGACGTGCTGCGGGATGGGCGTGGCTACCGACTAAAGATTGGAGTACTTGTCGAAAAAGATGCCTTCGAAGAGAGTTGCACGCAGTACCTATGTGCTGTCTCTTATACACATCTAGATGTGTATAAGAGACAGGGGTAAGTACGTTGGAGTCACACCCAACGTCCAGAATAGGCAACTTTTTTCAGCAGTTCCCGAAAATTAATGGAGCAAAAAAGGCGACCCCGCTAAATCTTCCAAGCGCCACTGCGGGTAATGACTGGCGCAGTTCTAGACTACCCCCGCTAAACATGCACACATTTCGAAACTCACACCATGGCTCCAGCGCCACTTTGTCGTGTCTTGCCTATTTCAAACTAAAAGTGTGTCACAGCCACAGTTTCCCCTTACTTTTTTTTTTTTTGAACGAGAAACTGAGAGTGAAAATCTTTATTCTGACAACAGTCCGCCACACTTGCTCCTCTAGTTTTGAGGTACTACAGACAAAATTGTGCGAAGAAATCGAAGTTTCAAAAAACAATTTATGGCAGGCAGTGGCAAGAATGGACCGCTGTGTGCAAAGGGCATGTCAATCTTGGGGCTGTAAAAGCCCAAGTTGCTCTTCTTTTCTTTTCGTATTTTTTGGATTGTTTTTCGTATAGCGGCGGATCAATTATCTCAGATAAGTTGAACTTCCTTTGAATCGCCGCTTGTTCATCAAATTCCGTGCCCACTGCCCATAGATTAAATCAGCCATGTTGTCTTCAAATGGCTGGCTGTCGGCCTTCCGGGCCCCACAAATCAAGTTTGCAGAGACCCCTTTAAACCACCAGTACCTTTGAGTGTCTTCTTCCCCGCCGGGATTTGCACTGCGTGCGTGCCAAAAAACAAACCAGCAGTGCCGCACTTTTTTGGTTTTTTGGGTAGTGGTGCCACCCTTTCTGGTCCGGTAGCACCATACTTGCGGCGCACTGTGTGCGAGCATGGCCCACACATGCGGCGCAATGCGCTCGCGTGCACAGAGTTTGGCGTACCCCGAAATATAGGGGTCAAAAAAGAAAATTGTGAGGTGTAGGGTGTGGTAGCACGCCCTCCCCCTCCCCTCTGAAAAATACGAGTTCACAAAAGAAAAAATATATCGGGGCCACTCTCGCCCCCCAAAAATTGTTGTGTGTGTGTGAGTGCGTTTGTGTTTCGTGATTTTTTTTGCTTGGGTGAATAGAAAGGAAGTATCACATCATTCACGCCAGATACAGCCATAATGAGGAGTGTGCAGTGCTGCCAACAACGGATACTTCTAAATGCAAGCTTTTGCTGCTTTTCCTATTTTCCTAATCAATCAGGTAAAGATGAGATGACCCTATCTTGATGTCCCCAATCACCTTTGATATCTTCCAAGGTCCACACCACCTCGGGGCAGAAGGGTTTTGCATATTCCTTCCTCTAGCACAGACTCATCCCTGCTGGCTGAAACGAGCTTTCCCCCTTGGAATGGGGAACATCTGCGGTGTCGGAGGGGGGGCTTCAACCAACCTTATGTCGCGTTTGATGACCCACGTTTGGTGTGTTTGTTTTGATTCCTACGTGGAGGCTTGCAAGAGTCAGAGCTTGTCCGCAATGTGGCTGGCTGGGTGTACTGAGGGGTTGTAAACATTGTCCACCTTAACGCAGGTGCAATGTTTTTGGTCCCAGCCAATCTGGTCGGGCGTGATCAAGTGACGCAGCACCTGCTGAATAGTGTTGTCCATGCGCTCAGTTTATCCATCCGTTTGGCGGCGATTGACAGAACTCATCTGGAGTTCTGTACCAGCAAACTCCATCATGTTGCCTCACATCGCACTAGTAAAGCCAGGATCCCTGTTGCTAATGATCTCCTCTTGGAATCCGAATTCTGAGTACCGATGCTTTCAGAATGACGCTACCGCTTCCTTTACTGTAGAATGTTGCTTCTGCGTTGGTAGTAGCCTGATGAACATGGAAAAAGGATCAACGATGACGAAGAGCATGCCATTTTTTACCCTTTGACAATGGTAGCCCAACTCGTGAAGTCCATGGACATCTCTTATGATTCTGGTTGTCTGTTGGCTGACTCACATAGACTCCCGGGTACGCCCATACATACACAGAAGGAAGGGGAGAGGATAGGAGTATCACACCACACAGGGAGAGAGAAACACAGCGAAAGACTTGACCATGCGATATGACAGGGTACACTGAAAGTGCAATTCACTCCACTCAATCCTCACAACCAGTCATAAAGTAAAGCCGAGTTGATCACATCCAAGAAACAATGAAACGATGATAGTCCGAACCCAGTATCAACACTGTTTATTAAACTCGGAGTCTCGAATTGTCTGGATAACCTCA